ACCAATTTCTTCATATGATACCTAACCTATTTATGCAAATATAAATTATTTTCCGCAGAGATTCGTTGGTTGCACTTTTTTACCACTCATTTTTCTGAAAATTACGCAAAGTCCACTGCAATTGAAGGCAATTTGATGTTTTCAGTTGATTTTTGAAAAAAAAAACGCAATTTCAAATGTAGACTTAACGGGACTTTTGAAAAAAAAGTTGCTAGATCAATCAAATTTAAGCGAAATAGCCCAGTAAATACTTTTGTTTGGTGAAAATTAGTACTTTTTCGTTTACAATTATTTAATTTAACATAAAAGATAATAAAATGATTTAAAGTGAAAATAGTTGAAAATTTGTAACTCTGTCTAGCATTTTGTTTCGGAATTAAAAATATTTTCATAACTGGTCAAAAAAGGTGGAAAAGTATAACTATCTTGCTGTGCTCCCAATACTTTAGTTCATCACTGTATGTAAATAAATAGTATAAAAGATATTTTTTATTTATGTTATGTCCAATACTCTTTAACTTAAAATAACAATATCGGAATTCCATATGCTATTGTTTGCACAAAATTCAATTCATTCAAATTTGAAACCATTTTCAATGATGGAATTATTAGGTTACGTTTACATTAATTAAGAGAACTTTTAAATATAGGTGTAGTAAAAAGAAATCCATTATATTTCCAATAGATGACGTTATTTATCTGTATCTCGCATTGTAAGGGTCCGTTCGGGTTTCACTAGATGGCGTTAAAAAGATGACATTTCGTACTAAAAATCTTTTTTTGCCGGTTTTGTGATTGGTTGATTCAATTATGTTTAAGCATGCGTCATAGATGGACACTAGTAAAGAGAAAATACGCTTTATTTTACAGTTTTTCTTCGAAAAGGGCGAAAATGTAAATGTGATCCTGAAAGTGTTATAGCCTATTTCCACCAAGCACTTAAATGCATTTAAGGCCTCTGTTAAGTTAATGAAGTGTTAAACGTTTCCACCGAAAGTGAGTTAACTCAAACAGCTGATTTTTGTTTACATTTGCAGTTTACAAAATTTGCCACAACTATAGAAATCATGAATTCAAGAGACCGCATTCATTTTATTTGGCTATTTCTGCAATCTTAAGACTTGCAAGTGCAGATTATTTCTGCACGGACAAACGTTGCTGAAACGAATACGCTTTTATGCATGTTTCCATTTTCATATTTGTTTGTTTGCCGAAAGTGAGTTAACTCACTTTGAAAAGTGAGTTAACACACTTTTATACAACAACAAACACATGGGAATTACCGCATTTAAATGCGATGTTTAAATACATTTAAGCTAAAATGCATTTAAGCTCCGGTGGAAATAGGCTATTACAGGCAATCAAGTAATTTTGGTTTAAAAGATGCTTCACGGAGTGGAAGGCCAATTGTCGAAAATATCGATAAAATCATGGACATTTTCGAGTCCGACCGTCATGTCATCATTTGAATAACGCTGGATACGAAAAGAAATTAAACCATTATAATTTATGCAAAATAATGGATCTCTTTTTTAATACACATAATATTTTAAACAAGAAACCTTACTGATATAGTATACGGTACTGTATGGATGCAGTAAAAGAGAATTGAACTTCTGTTTGTTACCTAAAAAGACTGGAATAAGGTACAATTATAACTAGATATCAACACTGGCAACATAGTTCATTATATACATTCATATACATGCATGTGTATAGTTATGTATGCACTTTTAGTTATGAAGCTGACACCGAAGACTGTATGTCTAACCCTATGTCAATTAGTAATAATTTAATTTTATATCTTTGTTAATACATATGAACATTGCACACAAATATGGTACATACATATGTCTTCTACGAAACTCTACTGACTAAAACCGTTTGTGTTTTACGTTATTACTGTATATAATAATAAGAAGGGTGACAACTATTATGTTATATATATGTGCGTACATATACATATATAAAATACATATATGACCATTTTGGTTAATCTTCGTCTCTAATTTGTGGTATGCATATCGATATTTTCTTATAAATCAAGGGACTTACAAATTTTTATTTTCCTCCAACCCATGTAAAACTCATGGATTTTCTAGAGAAGCTCATCATTTTCTCATTTTGTAGGCGTTGATATTCCCTTCCTTTTCAAAGAGTAAGTATGTATATAGTGGAGAGAAGTTAATTTGATCGGAAGCAGATTCAGGACGATATCCGAACATTCGTTTTAAAGGAATGAAACAGACAATAACTCACATAAATTCATATAAATATTCATATCAAGGAAAATATAATTGAATGCGAAAAGTAGAAATTTTTATTTTTTTTTTTTGCTGAGAACCTTTTTATTCCACCAGCTTTTGAACCCACGAAGGGAAGAGAAAGTATGGGGTTATTTATTAAAAATTATGATTGTGAGGCGATATATCTATGCTTGCTTATCTTGAGCAAATATGTTTAAGACGAATTGTTTACATAAGCTCTGTTCGGTGAGAAATGTCAGTAAGAATTAACCAGTAAAAAAAATCGAGAGAGAAAATAGTTTTACTTTTCTTAAAGGAAAAATTTACTGAATTTGGGCAGAACAGAATTCAGTAAAAATTAGCCAGCAAGTTATATATATTTATATATATATATGTATATATAATATATAATTGGCTTTCTGTAAAAAACTTTAATTTATAGGACTCGAACCATGGCTTTCTGAAGTGTTTATTTTGGCAGTTGCATTTGAATTTGTTCTGATTACAGTTTATTGTTTTCTGATTTCAAAAATTTTGCTAAGTACTTTTCAATTATATGACATTGTAATGCCACAGTGATGTAATTCTACATTTATCAAAGCTGTTAAACCAAAAACAGATACCAATATGATTTTTAGGATAGTCCTCTGAAAACAGGAATATTTACTTGCTTTGCAATTGTTGGTCGCATAAATTTTCTGTAAGGACGACTGAAATACGAAAATGAGCTTCGAAGTATTTTTTCTTGTGGACATTTTTAGTAATAACGAAGAAACCTACCTTCCTATGTACCAAGTTTTATTTAAATTAAATCATTGAAAAATAAATTCGATTTTTTGAATAGATCTATACACGCCCACTTCTCTAAAGAAAAAGTGGCCCAAAACTACCACGTTTAAACATTAATGTTTCGAATAGATCGGTCCGGGTCTAGAAGAAAAACTATTCGATTTGTAAATTTAGGCATAGAGTTACCAGTGTACCAATTTCAATGTAAAAAATTCTCTCTTATATTTTGGCATCTTGACATCGGAATACTTTGGTTTGTTGTTTGGTTTAACCTAAATTCTTTAAAATTCTTATTACAATGGGACAATCCAATCAAGGCCCACTAAGCTAATTTTAATTTTTGTGAATTTGTTTTGGTGCTTAATTCAAGAGTTAAACCGAAAACTTTAAAGCTTTATCACGTTTACCTTTTACAAAATGTTCTGATTGCTATTTTACTGGTTTCTCTGAAATTCGTGTTTTAAGAACTTTTTCCCTTTTGCGTCGTCACTTTCGGTAGCTTAAGAATGCATTATCGTCACACCTCGCAGCAACTTGGTTTTGCAGTTCATTTGGTCGACACAGGTTTCTAGTAAGTTAAAAAAAAAATCCTAAATCCGTTTACATTACACAAAAAAAAGGATATGTTTTAGTTATATGCCTTCGACATTACTCACTTCCAATTAGTGAAGCTGTGTTTTATGGTGGCTATGATTCCACTCCACTACCAAATGTTCGTGTAACCGGTATCTTTACTATTATTACTGTTACTGTTACAATATTATTTAGTTTATATTAAAATATTAATAATATTTTTTTTTAACCACTTGAATTTTTTTGACCAAAATGCTACCATATGATCACAAATCAACTGTGCTTTATAATAATTTCTACTGTCAGAAATTTTTCAAGCACGATTTTGCAACTTCTACTTCAAACTAAGCCTCAAAATAGAGCTCTTTGGGTGAAAGTTTTGCCGCCTTCTTGACTCATCGAGCGCGGCTCAGTAAAATTCTGCAACAATTGATACTGTCCAACAGGTCACCGAACAGAACTTCATATATGTAGGTATATATCATGCATTAGGATGGTGAATAGAAGTATTTGTTTAAACGCTAGAAAACAATTTTTTTTATTTAAATTAATGTCGCAAGATCAGACATTTGAACGAATGGAATCATTTTATGCAAAAGTTAGTAGCCTTTGGATAAACTTGGTATTTAATTTTTGCAAAAAAATACATTGAAGGGAATTTAAATTTTTATTTGATTGGTGAATTTTTACAAAACTAACGTCAAAACAGAAATCTATTGAATATGAGATTGAATATAAACTTGTTTAAAGAAAATGCCTAGGATAACTCCAAAGTGAGCGGTTACAAAGCATCAATTATGTACATATATATATATATATATATATATATATATATATATATATATATATATATAAATAATGAATGAATAATGAATGTTTTTAAGGCCCACCTAACATGTAATAACAAGGAGAAACATGTTCAAACATGAATTCTCAACAACATGTACATATGTATATACATACACACCACTGAAGCGATTTTTCCGCCGAGCTGCATCTTGATGCTTTTCTACAATTGTAGGCACTTACAGTTTATACTAAGCCGCCTCCGAACGGCTGATGGTTTTTTATGAGGAGCTTCTATTTCATGTCAGAAATGCACTCGGAGGAGTTAACATTCCCTGCCGAGGACGACCGCAATTAAAAAATTTTAATTAATTTTTATTTAAATCAATTTTCAATAACTTTTTAGGTGTTGATAGTACCAGGATTTGAACCCGAGCTTTTCCAATGGCAGTACGCAACCAAAGTGATTATTGTACTTTTACAAAATTAATTATTAATTACTAGCCTACCCTAATGTACATGCATACATACATAAAACACGAGTATCGCATGTGATCGCGTTATTGAGATCTTAGAAGTAGCTGCCACTTGCCAGCGTACCAGCTACTCCATCTTCTCTCATTCTACGCTCAATTGTCATCATAGTATAACGCAGTCAGTTCGTTTTCCGCTGTACTGATATTGCTTCATAGTTTTAACCCGTTTAAAATTCATTCATAAGAGCGCAAATAAATACGAATTTCGGTGTTAAACTGTAAATGCGTTTCCGGAAAGCTTTGTAGTTACATATTTACTTAAAGCAAGTAAGTGAGTGAGTCAATGAGAGTGAGAAGTGATATAAAACGCTGCAAACACAATGTGAAGCCTTAAGATGTATTATCTTATCAGTTATTTTAAGAGTTTCATAGATATCAATTGCATGTCTTCGACTTCTGATATTGAGTTCCAATTGTACATATGTACATATGTATGTTATTGTTTACACTTATGTTAATAATTTTAAAGTGATCAATTATTTATGTATGTAGTTTCATGTGGATTTTAAATATTAAATGTGCAACGATCACCGATAATTGAATAAAACCCAAGTGGATTTCATAAACGATATTTAAATATTGAATTATATTTAAAAAAAATTACAATTCTTAATTTGAAACGTGAATCATATCAACATTCTTGAGTAAGTATTTAATGCAAACATTATTTTCCAAGCTTGCCCTGAAACGTTCAGTTTTACTTTACTGGGAATTGTATAAATCAATTAGTAAAGCGTCAATAAAACGAGCTCACTGACTCATACTTAACTATGAGATGTACAAATACGCGTTATACAGTCATCACAATTGCAAACTTGTATGAGAATATGCTTGTGCGCTATACAAACGACTACATAAATATGTATGTATGTACATATTCGTACTCTACACTACTCTTTGACTTCTGAATTAATTGGCAAAAGAAGAAATGCAGTTTGTGTTTACAGCTCTCACTCCCAGTTTATGCTCATTAAATTTTGCTGTTTTTGAAACGAATTAATACTCGAGACTTGTTTAGCCGCTCATAACCGAGTGAATTTTTGTTTAATCAACAAGCATGAAGTACTATATACTCGTGTGTGCACATGTACATATACATACATATATACAATACAATACAATCATGTTAGTTACACAAACCCCGGCTTAATATAGACTGATAAGGTTGCTCAATGAAAAGAAATGCAGAAATGTTGAAATGACATTGACCACACAGCGCAATAGACGGATTTCATTTTTTTTTAAGAAAATTAATATTTACTTTTCCCAAAAAATGTATATATTTTCCCTTCTTAGATATGACAGTCATGCGAAACCCATCCATCTTAATATAAAAATAAAACAGGGCCGATCATAATATGAAGAAGTGTATTTTTATTTATGTACATATGTGTATTTGTTCCTTTTAATTGAGATTTTTAAACAATATAAATCTCAAAGAATTTACGAATTCTTTTCGTCGAATATTTTTATTGTATACAGAAATAGAAGAATAGTAATTAAATTTATTAAGGTCAGGTTACACCAAAAAACGTATTTTTTTTTCAAACAAATTATATTTATCAATCAAAAATTTTGTAGAAAAAAAAAAAATGGCGGCACTTAAAATTTCTGTTGAATGTTGTCTCTTTTGTTGGTGAGTGGTACGAGAAGTGTAAAACGAATATTCTGAAAGTAAAAATCAAAACGAACTCCTTTTCGGTATGACATTAGCTATGGCCGGAACTACAATGAAACATTTCCATAAAAAAAAAGAAGAAAAAAGAAGAAATTTTAGTTTTTTTTTACCCTACTTTTGAAATTTATTTGTTTATAAATATTATGAATAGCAATAAATATTTTTGATTGTAGTACCGGCTATTGAGAGGCATTTTAGGAGTAAAATGCCGTTTAGTTCATGTTGACAAGTTCAATAGCTTCTATTGTATATAAGAGTGTCACCCAGTTGAAAAATCGTGGTTTCGAGAAAAAGGCGATTAAAGTACTTGTTCAGGACTTCTTCTATATTATTTCTGGCAGTTTACAGAAAAAAAAATATTTTGAAAATTATAATCCATAGTAGCGTAGAGCGCTTAACTCGCGCCGGGATCACAGCAGTACTATTTTGAATGGGAAAACAAGACAAAATATTGAAAACTAAGTGATCATCTAGCATTTGTTCAAATGATACCTCTGAATTTACATATAAAGAAATATTTAAAAATCAGGCATTTTTAAAACAATAAAAGAGTAAAATTTATACTCTTTTAGGGGACACATATATTTATTTAATATAATAACAATATGATTATATTTCGTTAATAAAACAAATTTATTAATAAAAACATCAAAGTTTTTATAGTTTTTCCCTTTCCCCTCTAAAAATTTTAGGTCACTTATCCGATCTTCTCTTATCGTTGATCGCAGATAAATGTGTTAAAATCGATTTTAAGTTGCTGAATGAATTTTTTCAGCTGGAAATTGATACTGAGTTAGTCAGAAGGCTTTGAACTGCCACTCTCTGGTATGGAAAACATCTCCAAACGAAAATACAAAAGTATTGGATGAGTGCATAAGTTCGTGCCCGATTCCGCTGAATGCCGTTCGAATCGTTTGAGAGTGGCGCTCGTGAAATAAATATATACATATTATATATCGTTGGAAAGGTGGCAGTCCGAACTGTAAATCAAGCCTAAAATAACTTCATTTTGATTTGAGTTGCTTAGTGAATAAACTTAACATTCCTGTTTCAGATTCATTTTCGAATTCCCATCGTAACGGTGAATGTAGGAAAATAGATATATGTTTCCAATTATTCCAAAACATGTCACAACGTTTGGTTTACGTTTAAGTGCAGTAACGCCAACTAAATTTAGTGAATGGTTGTCAAAATTATCAAATAATGCTTTATGATTTTTTTCCATTATTCTTAGTTGACCTGCGACCCCATTATCTCACAATGTTAATGCAGTTCGTTAATGAAATTTCAGTTGCATCTTTATCTTGTTTTCAATAAAACCTTAAATTTTGGTAGATGAAAATTTTTATTGAGAAAATCAACTGCTGTTGATGCACTTTAAAAGCTGATTGCGGACTGTAAGTGCCGCTAAGGAAGTGCTGACCAACAAATGTCGAGCCAGTGCTGTCAGTAGAAAATACGTACCATTTCTACTATAAATATTTTATGACAGTTTGCTTAGACTGTTAGTGTTTCCTTTTCATTTTTATTTACGAATTATTATTGTTTATTATTTTTATTAAGTAAACTACGAGGCCTGGTTGTTTGTATGAATTGAATATTTGTTTTACAACAAAGAACAATGGTAGAAGTGACAGCTGTTTCGGAGAACACCACATCTCCTCATCAGACTTCTTATGGCAGGGATCGAACCAACGGATCCTGACTTAACAGGCGAGTGCTCTACCACTGCGCCAACATCAGACTTGCAATCTATTATTCAATTCATTATTAACCAACAACTATTAAGTGCGCTAATTTAGCCGCTGTTTTCTTAACAATTTGGTTAGTGTTTTGTGTTGGAATCCTCTATACTTTCAGGCGTTAATTAACTGATTGTATAGGCAGGATTAAGTATCAGGTTCAACCTTTATATTTATAATTTGTTTTTGCGGCCATGCTATATATTAATTTTATTAAGTAAACTACGAGGCCTTGTTGTTATTGTTTATTATATTTTCCAGATATCAATTACAAGAAAAAAATTCAATAATTTTTGTAATTAAGGATTATATTACCATTGATGAATAGTTCAAGGGTTGAATAAAAACAATCTATATTAACATGTCCAGTATAAATCATAATAATTATCTCAGCATCACTATTATATTATTTTCAAAAAAAAAAATCCACAATTAGAATTAACAGAAAGGTTTTGATCTGTTGAAAATATGTAGACTTACGCCTAAACATGTGGTTTTCAGTTTTTAGGTTGCATACATATACATATCTGTAGATGTCAACATCATCTACCGTAGTGAAACTTGGAAGTGGAAAGCTGACTTCAATTTCTCCTACAAGTTTTTAAGCCGACTTAACTCTACAGAATATTGAACTAGAAGGTTTTACCAACTCAGAATAAGGAGAACTACCAGTTATTTAGTCTACAATTGTGATTGGTTTTATTATAAGAAATGAATCAATCTTAAACTTGTCTTCCCCCACTATGCTTAGGTTTTTCGGTGGATGATTCTTATTGTGCTATAATGTTTATTGTCGAGTTCGGCTTTCCTACGTTTTATGCAACACAAGAGAATTTGCTTACCCTTACTAACATTGATTAAACCAATGACACTGTCATCCCGATCGGAGGATTTATAATGGCCAGATTCATCTATATACCAATAGAACCCTAGCAAGACATAGTGTCAATAGCAATAACACGTAAAGAAAAATCTCTTAACGGTGGATAGCACTAAGCGAAGCTCAATAAAGCGAAGTGGTTAGTACTCTGTAATGCTTTCGAGTAGCATTCGCTCGAATTTAAATTATCCCATTTGGTTTACCGGATGGCTCATCGCTATATCGCCTAAGGTATTCGCCGTCCCTGGTGCGGAAATGTACGTAGATCGTTCACAAAACCCTTTCTCGAAAATTCCTAGTACAACTTATCGGGTGTTACCATCGTCAACCCTTTTGAGTTATATTTCAGAATAGGAATGACCAGCTTTGCGAATGGGGCTTTTGTTCGAGAAGACAAGACTTTTATAAACGAAATTATCTACAATCTAACAGTTATTACGGTAAGTGAATTCAAAGCTAACACGCGTCTTGTCTTCGTTGACTATAACAACCATCCACTTCGTTTCATTATCATTATTCAGTAGACAAATCTAAAAAAAAACAAGTTTTTTGAAAAATGTTTTGGTCCAATAAATGTGCTGCTACACACCTTAAACAAAAATTTTATGGGTGTGATTCAACTTTATCCACAAATGTTGCCCACAGTGCATCTCGCGTATAAGCGCGGGCTCTCTTTTGTAAGCATGTAGTAGTAAATAAGAGGATAGCACCAATCAACAGCGATGTCATGGGAAAGTAATGTTTACAAAAACCTATGTTTCCATATCAATCTTAGAGTCACTATTGCATCCATTACCTTCTCTAAATTAAAGATAATATTAATTATTTTAAGTTACTTTCATTTAATTAATTTTATATCATTTAAAAATTTTAGTTAATATAAAATAATTTTATAATTTTGTATTAATTCTAGGTTCACATTCTTAACATATTTAGTAATAATTGATTTTATCATTATTTTAATAATGGAACTACAATAAAATAACAATAGCCGTTATAGCAGAGATAGAAAAGAAAATACGGATTAAGTGTAGAGTAAATGTCAATGATAAGGTGTACGAAGAATCTTCTCTAGAATTAGCACCTCAAATGAGCACATTCTTTCTTCGCTTAAATTAAATTTTTTATTGGTATAGGATTCGTATATGAAATTCCCTCTGCACGTTGAACCCCTCTTCGAGTAACAAAATGGACGGTAGTGCCATACCTTGTCGTTTCTGTATTATTATTATTTTTTTTTTACTTAGCTCAGCCGGTAAAACTCACCTAACAACCGATTTGTTATTCCGCATGCAATCGCCATTCGAACTTTCTTATAGTCACTTTTTCTGCATTTCAGCAGGC